AAGGTTTATTTAGTTCACAGTTTTTAGAGGTTTCAGTCCATGATCAGCCAGCTCCAAGACAGGGTGGATGGCAAACAGCATCACAGAGGGAAATAATATGGCACACACAAAGCAGCAAAAGCAACAAGGGACCTTAAGCGCATCTTCCAGCCCCTTTTATTTTATCCAAGCCACTTAGGGTGGGTAGCACTCACACCCTTAATGCTTGTACCATGAATCAGTCACACACTCTAGACTGAGCCACGTCTGAAAAAGCCCCATCTAAGACTGCATGAGGCTTTGGGGGAACATCTAGACACAAGCCGTACATTTTTTTCAGCAACTATAGGATGTAATTGGCATGAAGTAGGTAGGGAAAAAAGAGCCAGGGCACTTACGTCTCTTTGCTAGCAAAGCAGGACTTCACGATACTACAAGTAATCATTTAAAATCAATAACAAATCAACTATTGCATTTCAATTGGTCAAACATACTTTGTCTTCTCCACTAAACTTTGGATTAAGTTCATTCGTAGTTATATGAAGCATTGTTGAAAATCCACAAATCATTATGTCAAATAAGAATCTTAAATTATATTGATTCTTACTATATGAGAATATTTGTATTTGTCATCAGTATCTCCCTCTCTCTCTCTCTCTCTCTCCTTTTTTTGTGGGACTGGGTTCAAACTCAGGACCTTGTGCTTACAAGGCATGTGCAGTGCCACTGAGCTAAATCCCTGGCCCATCAGTATCTCTTTTAATTCAACTTATTGCATTGTTACCTGTATCCTTTATATCTACATACTGGCATCACTTTCCAGGTTGGATGAGTGACAAACACATTACACTTTTATTTTTTTATATTCTTATTTATAGAAAATTATAATTTCAATATGAAATTATTTAAAACTAAAGATATGCAGTAAAAATAGTTTTTCAAGTGAATTTCAATCTACATCATTTACACATTTTTGTAAACAAGAAAATGTAAAACTGTTTAATGATTTGTTAAAAGCTAAAATATTATATTTATCCATAAAAATAGTACTATCGTACACTATGCTCTTTGGCCAAATATAGGAGTCTAGAAATTTATATTCTTTACTCTGTTTTCAATGGAAAAGCTAAAAAACAGCATTTTGAATAATGTGTGGATAATGTTCCAGTTAAGCAGAAAGGCCTTCCTACAAGAACACTTTTGAATTTTCTGTCTACTTTTTATATTCACAACACTGATATGGAAAAAGTAGGCATGGCAGGCGGAAAATACCTGCCTCTTAATTCTTTTTTTTTTTTTTGGTACCGGGGATGGAACTCGGGTCCTTGTGCTTGCGAGGCAGGCAGTGGAAGCCGCCTCTTAATTCTTGGAGCCTGTAAATGTGTCATGTGACAAAAAGGACCTTGCAGATTTGATGAACCCTAAACACCTGAGATAAGCAGATCTTCTGAAGATTACTCCGTGGGTTCTGGCTAACCCAAGGAATGCCTGGAGCTGGAAAATGGAAGGAAATGGATCTTCCCACTTGACTCTAGAAGGGACTGCACATCAGACTCTGAGCCAAACTGTGATGTTTTAAGAAACTGTGGAAGTTTTTAGAGCACATCCAGGAAGTCAATATGTGAATGACATAAAAAGTTGAAAATGTGAAAGAATTTATTGATATTTACAAAAAACAATATGGATGTATTGTTAGCAACCAAAAACTGAAGTTTCTACAAGAAGTTGAATTTTTTTCTAGTGACCAGTTTGAAATACAAAAATGTATGATTATAAAAAAAATGTCTACTGATAGTTCAGGTAGCATAATCGGAGCTGGGAGACCGCTCCCCCTCCACCCATGTGAATTTGGGCAACACCCCAGGGCCAATCATTCTTCGGTTGTTCTAAGAGAAGCAGAATAAAATAAAAAAGACCCTGGAAATCTCTATAGCTCCAGCCCACAGCACATGCGTGTTAGAGCTCCTGGCCTGAACTTCAGTAACCGTTTCCCCACTCCAACCTCATTGAAGGCTCATCCGTATGGACTGTATCTCATGTATGTCATTTAATCAGAGTGAACTTGGGACACACATGCATGCTGAAAGTCCTGAGATGACTCAGCACCCCGCCAATCATTCCCGTCAGTCTTATCCAGAGACACAGTGAGCTGCACCTGGTCTGGGTTCCACATCTCTTAGAATCCGAAAGCCTGATTCAAATGTGTGCTTCTTATTTTCCTTTTTCTCAGACACCAACATTCTGTCCGTTCCACATTCCTGTTTCTGCTGGACAGACCTATCTTGAGCACATCTTCCTGATACTTTCTTCTTTTTTTTTTGCTTTTTTGAGACAGGGTCTCACTATGTAGTTGAGACTGACCTGGAACTCACTATGTAGTCCTGGCTGGTCTCAAACTCACAGTGATCTTCCTGCCTCAGCCTCCTGAGTACTGGGATTACAGGTGTGCGCCACCATGCCCAGCTTCCTGTTACTTTCAATGAATGTGACTGGTTTCTTTTTTACCTTTGGATCTACTTTGTTTACCATACATAGGAGACGGAAATCCATTTGTCAGATCCACCAACCAGTCTCACGAGAGTACCAATCCCCCAGAAAATTATTACAATTTTTAGACTTCATTTGTGGATTACTTACTTCTGAATATGAATGTATGAATAGAATATGCTTCAAAACAATTTTTATAGAGCTGTGTTGGTTCATCCCTAATACTTAGAGCACACCAAGCACACATTAAGCACTCAGTAAATACCGTATTTTTTAAACACAGAAGTAATAATATGCCCAAAGAAACAAAAGAAATAATCTAACAATTAATTACTATCTTCACTTTTAGAATTCTCGCAGCTGTCATGCTTTTAAAAACAGTAAAAATCTCTGTTCACTATAATTTCCCTGCAGGAATATAAGTAATACAGAAAAACCAATGTATTGTCAAGAGCACCACAATGTGCCTTTGAAACATTAGCCACTTTCAAACTTTCTTCTTTTGTTTCTTCAGATATCACAGTGGAAACCATGAAATAAATCCAACCAACTGAAAACATTGTGCAAATCTAAGACAACATTAAACTGAAAGTAACAACTTTTAGATTAACTTATTGGCATCATTTATGACACTATATGACACTATAAACCATACCAAATACTGACCATAATTAGGATAACTTTGACAAGGGGAAAACACAAAGGGCTCTATTTTGAACTTCTAAAAATTGTTTTCTATTTAAAATCCCTTGTCCATATTCAAAAGTTCAATATTTTAAATTTATTTTGGTAAAATTTAAATAAAGGATAATACAAGGATGACAACAACTTGATGACAAAAAAGTTAAATGCAAGAGGGGCATGGTGGTGCTCGCCTGTAATCCTAGCACTCAGGAGGCTGAGGGGAGAGGATTACCTGGAATTTGAGGCCATCCTGGTCTATAGAGTGAGTTCAAGGACAGCCTGAACTACATAGGGAAACCCTGCCTCAAAACAAAAACAAAACAACAAAAAAAGTTAGATGCTTCCATTTAAAAACTAAAAACAAGACAATTTAGCAATTTAACCTAAGAGATCAGCTTAAAAATTCCTTTTGTATAATTCTGGCCTGAGAAAGTCTTTGATTCAAAAAAAGGAAAAATAAGTCACACATGTATAAATACTGAATAGTTTCTCTGGTGTGAAAAACTAAAATGGTACATAAGATCCTAATGATATAATTGATAATGTAAAATAGGAAGAAAAGGGCTAAAAGTGAGGGGAAATGGGAAGGGTAGGGGAAAGGTAATAAGGGAAAAGGAAAAAAACATGACAAAATGAAAAAAATGGAAATAAAGTATTTGTAAATAGGAAAGGGAGGAGGGGGTGAAGGGAGGGCAGGGGTGTAGGGAAAATGAGAACCAATGATATAATTGATAATGTAAAATAGGAAGAAAAGGGCTAAAAGTGAGGGGAAATGGGAAGGGTAGGGGAAAGGTAATAAGGGAAAAGGAAAAAAACATGACAAAATGAAAAAAATGGAAATAAAGTATTTGTAAATAGGAAAGGGAGGAGGGGGTGAAGGGAGGGCAGGGGTGTAGGGAGAAAATGAGAACCAAGACCTGTCATGTAAAGGTACAAGATCCCAATGATGAATGTAACTGTACTGTATACCTAAAATGTACTAATAAACTCAATGAGGAAAAAATAAATTAAAAAAACCAATATTTGAAAAAAAGCGCAATTTTGAGGATAAAATTTTATCTTAAATCTATAACAATAAGAGAATGATTAAGTAAAAATATGTTTATTTTAGTAGCATGCATTAAAACAAATACAATATGAAAGAAAATTAATATGAATGAAAATAAATGCATTATGACCTTAATTACTTTACTGCCAGCATGGCAAAAAAATTGGTAATCAATATGCTAAAATACATAATTTGTAGCAGTGCTAATAATCTTAATTGTATGCTACATGTTTACATGTTTTATGTTACATGTCACTGTTTTCCAAATTTCCAACTATGCATTGGTATTTTATAATTAGCGAATGCATTTTGTAATGAGTAAGAGTTGTAAGGTGAACAAGCCCTTCTTTTTCATTCAGCATTTTATGCACTGTAATCATGTGAATAACAGGAAAGCTTCTGAAGCCAGGAGCTGTTACAGGTCAAACCAAATAGCATCAATGTTTATGTTAGGTTGGATAGGAAGAACAAAAATCACCATAAGGAATGGAAGTCAATATTAACCATGAGCAGTCTGGGTGCTGTGGATAAGTTATATATACATATTTTATAAGGCAAAAGTTCTATTATTTTTGGCAATTTATCAGTGCTGCATCCATTGCTATTTAAACAATCACTAACATTATCCTTAATGTCTTAGAGGCCCAAGTTGTTCTTATTCTATAGCCAAATTGTACCTTTTCAGGCTTTTAGGATATACATTCTAGAACTTAGTAGAACTGTTTCTGATGACCTATGTAGTAATCTCATATATCACCATAGTTCAAACAAAAAATAATACATTGGTGGAATTCTTACTTACTGTGGTAGCACAATGAATGTCTTTCCATACTGTGGCTTCCCTGGAGAGATCAGAGACTTCAAACAAATTGTCTAGAATCACCTCCCCGATCATGTCATGTCTAGAGAATCTGTCAAAATCATATACACTGAAATGTAGTTTGCGGTTGCTTAGTTGATCATATACTACTGGAAACTGAAAAGTTTCATCAAATAGAGGATTTAGAGTCTTTCTGTGTACGCGGGTCTGAAATTTCTTTTTCCTATCTGGAAGAAGATACATCTTCACATATGGATCAGAAGTTCCTGTGAAGTCCTTTGCAGGGAGGTCTAAGGCTTTGATAATTTTAACAACTAGAAGTTCATTTTCATAATCATACTGGAGGGCAAAGTTAAGTTTCCCACAGATTTTGACGTCTTCCATTCTGTTACCCTCGGAGTCCACTGACTTCTGTTTGTAGAGCTCTGGTTTTATTCTCCCAATGCTGGTTGTTGTTTCTCCTCTTTGTAAAATGGGTTCGGTGCCCATGCTGAAATCCACACTGGACACCTGCATCTGTCTTGGCAGGTGCCTCCTGAAGGAATTGTGTCTGTACACACACACACACACACACACACACACAAAATTATTCAAACAGATTATTTGAATGACAACATTTTAAAATGGCATATAAACTTTCCCCAACTCCCCAGGTAATGAAAAGATTATATCTATATCTATATCTTTGTAGATACGCACACAAACACACACTAATCTACTTTGAAAAAACAGAAATTCAATATTTAAAGAAACCCAAAACTTGGAAACAGTCCAATTATCCATCAACTAGAAATTGGATGATTTTTTTATATATAAAAAATGAAATACTAGTCAGAGATAAAGAATGAGGAACTAGAGACATTTATAGCTAAGGGGATGCACAATGAAGCCCTACTCTTAAGTGAAAGAAATAGGACACACATGTGTAAATACTGATGAGATCGGGAATATTCAGGGTGGTATGGTCGTAGACACACACGTGTAAATACTGAATAGTTTCTTTGGTGTGAGAAACTGAAAGTGTAAATAAGGATCAAAATGTAGAACAGATAATGTGAAATAGGAAGAAACAGTCCAAAGTGGAAGGGGAAGTGAGAGGGATAGGGGAAAGGAAACAAGGGAAAGGAATAAATATGAGAAAAGGAAAAAAACGGAAACAAAGTCTTTGTAAACAGGAACAGGTGGAGAGGTTGAAGGGAGGGCAGGGGAATGGGGGGGGTGGGGAAAGAAAACCTCCTGAAATTCTGGAGTTCCCATACATATACATTATGAGCTTTTGGTATTTTGTATTTTCAATAATAAGGAAGTAATTATAAAGATTGCTATAGGGAAACATAACTACCAACAAAATTCAATATTGCGTGAAAAAATGCTATCTGTCCTGTGGGTATATGCAGATAGAAATAGCATATTGAGAAAGTATTTAAATGGCTGATTTCTTTTATCTGGATATCTGGGTCTCATGAATTTCATGTTTTAGTTACCACTAAATGTGTACAAATAATTAAAATGTGTTAATTATTCATAATTCTTAAATTAAGTGCACAATTACTTTAAAAAAGAATATAAAGTTCTAACAGCCCAATTTAGTAAAGTATACACTTATTGACAGAACTCTAAGGATAATACTAAAGTTAGAATTTATAATTTGAACCTATAATAATAGTTTTTAAAAATTCTATTTTCTTAGTTACTTTTACTACTCATCAAGTACACATTTCCAGAATTTTGAATATATAAACTTACTAATGTCTTTGAAATGTGATTTGCATTAAGATCTGCTTTTCTTATTCTTTCTCTATGATTTCCAGAATCAGTCACACCAACCTAAATGTCTTTTTAGTGCTGGCTGTTTTGTTTTGACCTGTCCTCAGTTTGTCCATCAGACTATTTGCCAGCTTTTGGAGTAGTCTAGTCCCATTACTCCAGATCTTCCATGAAAATGTTTAAATAGAGGGGATTCCACCCAAACTTCAACCAAGCTTGTCATTTTCTTCCTTTTGTTCTTAAAATAGTTCTCTTTCCCATAGTCAGTCTAGTGCTAACACTGTTATGAGTCTCTCATACTTGGACATATGTGGGTTGCTTTAAATCACCCTTCCTTCATCCTTGAGATTTACTCAACTTTGTAAATCCTGTTTCTTCCTAAAGAAAATCTCCTTTAACTAATCCTCCCATTCTGTTTCTGTTGCTCTTCAGTCCAGACCCTTGTCCACTCACACTCTCTCCCCGAGCCCTCAGCCTACACTTCTTACCCATTCAGCAGGGTCAGAGAACTCCCTTCACAACCCTGTTCACTTTTGCTGCCTACTGCATTAAATCCACACCTTTATGGCTCTGCTTGATTAATATTCAGTTTAGTGACGCACAGCTGATGAATGACTTCTTAAAGAATAATGAAAAGTTTAGTGAACATACAGAAGGGAGGATGTTAAATAAAGGAGAAAAAGCAGGGCAAAGGGCAAAGATGGGGTTAATTCTGGATTCCAAAGTTGGAGGGCTGAGTAAGACTTTACAGGAGTGGTGGGAAGACAGACTTCAGCTTCATATAAGGGAATATTTAAAAATATCTAGAGCCCGACAAACGTGGACCTCCACAAACTTGCAGTGTAAAACAAAGGTTCAATGTTTAAGAAAAGAAATTTGGCTTCAAGCGAGATGCTAGAATGTCGTTTTGTCATCTAAATTGCTGTGAATCCCTGTCATCCTATAGTTTTTTGATGGTTTATTGGTTTACTTAGCTATAACCATTAGGTGTTCATACGATGCGTTTGTTAAAATCAGAATTACAATCTGAGGTGTTTCCAAGTTCATCCTCTTATATTTAGCTGGCTTACTGCCTGTAACTAGACCGAAATATGGAACAACTGAGTATTCTAATATTTGCATGAAATGCTTAGAGCTGTACTTTCTCTATGGCTTTTTTACACAGAAGACAAAGAAAAAAAATAAGCTGAGAGTATCAGCAACTCTTTGCCTATTATTATTTACAGATTTCAAATAAAAGGGAAAGGGCTTATAGTTCAGTACACTCACTGTAAATGAAGATAAAAACTGCGACTGGTGGAACAGTGCCACAGGTGAAAATATGAAGATACAATGCAGCATATGTGGATGTTTCTCTTTCAGCATTCTGCTTGGCCTTACCACAGAATGACAGACTACAGTGCACTGCCACAGAAAACTGCAGAGTAGGACTGGAGGTTTCGAATACAGGAATTAGAATGAGAGAAAATAATATATGATGACAATTTGGGAGGTAAAATAGACTCATAAAAACAAGAACACAAAGAAATATACATTTGCATTTTCACATGCAAAATTAAAATGCACGCTTATTCTTTAGTTGTTTCTGATTAAGGCTGATATAATGAGTGCTTGTGATGTGGCAGGGATGGGTATAGACTCTTTATTCACTCACTCAGTCTTCATGTGACCCAGTGTCAACATTACGTTCTCTACCTTGCAAACTAGGACCCTAAGGCACACAGAAGACACCTACTCAAAGCTAGGCAGGTGGGAAAGTGCAAATTTGACTGAGGGAGTCTGGGGCTAATGGCCATACACTTGACTTCCATGCTGCACTGTGATATTCAAGGCAAACCCATTTAATGAAGTTATTTCACCAATTGTTTTGAGTAAACACACAAAATACTGAAAAGTGTTTATATGGGCTTTCATATGACTTTTCTCACTTAAATATGACATAATCCTGCAAGATCCAAAGTTTACTTGGTTTAACCAGTTGAACAACATATGGTCAGAGATGTTTACCATTTCCTTGATTAAGTGAGCAAGAGTTAAGAGGAAGCAAGGTATTTAATTTGTAAATAAAATTATAATTAGTATGGACAAAGTTCAGGGGAAGGTTATCATCATGGTACACTGCATAAGAAATGACATTCTGAAAATAGCAAAGTAAAATCTGTAATATAATTCATGCTATACCATATACTCCATGACAAGCTAAAATGTGACAGTAAGTGAAGAACTATTTCTATATAGAGATATACTTAGGATTACTTTCAACTGAGAAAATTAGCTAGTAATTAAAATTACATTTAGACCCCAATATTTCAGTTTCTGTAACTAAATGAGTATATATGTAAAAGTTTTTTTTTAAAAAACAATTTAAATGATCTGTTTCTGGGATCATACTTGTTTGAATTCATTGGGCATGCTATAAAATATATTTTGACCTTAAATTTACCCAGATGAAAAGGATCAGGAGCCTAAATTAGATTCAGGGAAAGGTCAGAGATAATTTATGAACATAAAAACAGTAAAAACAAAGACAGATTAGATGTATGGTTGTGAAGTAATAAAAAAGGACTATTACAGTCCAGTTTGCATATTCAGTGTTCCTAAAATATTTGAGATATTTTATTGAATAATCTAATATTCCTGTCAAAGTCACTTTCATTTATGGAACGAGCTTCTATTTTTTGTGAGCAAAAAAAATTTTCTTTTAAACTTCACACCCATGCACTTTTATACAACACAACTTTAATTTTCTATCCTCTGCTTAAAAATCATCACTTTCTTCTATATGACCTCAAATACAATCTGTGCAGCTATAAATCCCCTTCTAAAAGGAATCCAAGCGATAGAGCCTCTTCTAACAGGAATCAAAAACATAGTAACATTTTGTTCTTGAAAGCCTGGGTCCTAATTACAGGGTAAATGGTGCATATTCTAAGTCACAGTTTAGCTAGTCACTCAAGGAAAGCTTTAATTATTACAGCGTTGAACTATTGCCATGACAACAGAGATCTTCTTTCTTGCCCCCCCCCTTTAGAATGGGGATGGTTGGCTATATAGTCTCACACATACATCTAATCAATCAAGGGCCAGTTACTGGAGTATTCCCATGTACTCATCCTTCCAGCCTAGGGAGGCACCAGCCAATACTGCAGTGTGGGATCAGTGCAGGGCTGGAGTCCCACTGCAGACTGGCCTCAGGTGCCCTGTGAAGAGGAGGAAATGTTATGCAGTTTGTTACACTTGTTGGAATTTTGGTTTCCTCATCTATAAAACAGCCCTTTTCTAGTCCTTAAAAACAAAATGATATTATAGATGACTTTGAAAATAATACTCTTTTGTATCGCCATTCATTACTGTGAGAATTCAGGACACAAGAAGCCAAGGTGTAAATACCATAATGAACTCTAGTTTTGACAAGCTCAAATCCAAGCTTCCTGTTTGGGGCTTTAGTGACGGTACATAGAAGACTGATCCTGTGAGCACATCCAGGACTAGAGAGACCCTTGGACAAGTTTACCTCTTAGCACCCCGCAGTTCCCACAACCCTTTCATTTCAGTGTCTGTGTCATCTATTAAGTTAACTTTAGATATTTTTCAGAAATCAGAGGGGGCAAAACAAAAGTATCTTTACCAGTGCTTATGAATGATATTTATAAGGAATCTATCTCTTTTTATCTTAATATTAAAATCTGCATTGGAAATGGTTCTATATATTATAAATTACAGCCACATTTTGTAGATAAAGAGGCTCAAATGGGAAGGCAAAGTCCAATTTCTGATAAACAG